GCTGCTAATTTGAAATTCAGGACGAAATGTCCTGAATTTTTGAACTACTAATTTAAAATTCAGGAAATAAGATTCATCTAGACACAATTTTCGAACTATAGGACACGATGTCCTGAAGTTTGGACTTTGAGGTTTAAACTCTAGGACGTCGTGTCTTGAAGTTTGAGTGAAATTGCCTAATCTTTAAATACATTGTAAACTGTGAATATATTTTAAATAACATGCTTAAAAGTGACTACCTGGTGTCATTTCCACCCAAATTAACTAGCAGATTTATGCTTGAGGGTACTTAATTAAGTGATTCTCCTACACTACCTAAACGAAGGCTATTTAGAGCTGTCAAAATGGCCTAACCTAACCCAGTCCAAGCCTCATAGGTCATGGAATTTGATGGGATAGGATGGGCTGGCCCTCTTTTCGCCTGCATTCTTTACATGTACGTTGATCAACCATGAATACTGGCTCCTCTTCATATTAATTAGATGTTCTCATCTAGTGGTCATGTAATGTATTTTAATGACATGGGGCGAATTAAGAAAGTATTTCCTTAACTTTACTTTCTTGCCAAATCTCATTATATCCTTTATCGTCTTTGACACTCATATTAAGAATATTCGATACAGTCAAACTTCTCTATAACAGCCTCGTTTGTTCCGAATATTTTTGGATGTTATAGTGAAATATTATTGTAGAGAATATATATTATAACATAACATAAAAATTGGTTCTGGAAAAGCTTGGCTTTTATAGTGAAGTGTTGTTATATAGGGATGTTATTATAGAGAGGTCTGACTGTATATCCCCAATCATGAACTATGAACATGAAAAACAAGAGCATTTGATATATATATGTTTTCAAGTTTAAGTATACCAAATCTATATGTTTTCATTCAAGTTTAAGTATACCAAATCTGAATATATATAGCTATAGTTAATTAAGTTTCCCCATAAGAGGTCACAACGCATTTTATGTACTACGAATACTAGCATTGAGATTTTCAAGTTAAAGATTCAATATTTACTTTTCAATAAAGGCATTATAATAGTCTTCTAAGTTCGGGTCATGACAGCAAAGCATTAACAACCACAGAAAGAAACAATAAATAATAATTAATGTATTCTTTTCCTTATTTATTTTCCAGAATCATGATAAGTGTTTTGCGTATATTTGGGGACAGAGAAAGCGCAAAAATTACTCCCTCCGTCATAAATTATTTGTTGTGGTTTTTAAAAATAATTGTCTCAAATTATTTGTTATTTTAGAAGTTCAAGACTAAATTAATTATTTTTTTCCTATTCTACCCTAAATTAATTGTTCTTGAAGACTACAAATACATCAATTATGAGTAAATATCTAAGTGGAGACATGTTATATTTTAAGACATAAATAAGGGTAAAAACAGCCAAAAACCTCTCTTATTTAATATTTTCTTTAGGGACATGTAAAAGAGAAACACAACAGATAATTTGAGACGGGAGGAGTAACTGATATTGACTTTGTAATGCGAGCCAATCTCTGAATAACATGGCCAGATCAAGTTCTGTTTTGAATACCTTAAACATTGCAGCTATTTCAGTTGAAAATCTATTAAAAAATTCATAGCTACATAGAAGTTTGCAGATGTCAATATTATTATAATCAAGGCATATTCCGCGTTGCAAGTGATAACCATGTTCAATAAAAAAAAGCTCGTTACATTAAGCTCCCGCTATGCGCAGGGTCGGACTATAAGGGTCTACGCTAACTTACCCTACATTTTTGCAAGAGGCTGTTTCCACGGCTCGAACACGTGCCCTCCTGGTCATATGACAACAATTTTATCAGTTACGCCAACGCTTCCCTTCAACCATGTTCAATAAGTCATACAGTACAATTTTTCAATATATCGTATCTTGTGGATATTCTGCAATAACATAAACATAGAACCAAACACACCAAAACCTGAAAATTTGGGGAAAATGGAGTGGGAATGGAGCTATGTTGTTTGGTCTGTAATTATCTTAGTACCAACTCTAATCATAGTATTCTCCAAAAGAAGGTCTAGTTCTTACAATTTGCCTCCAGGACCACCTGGATTGCCAATTTTTGGCAACATGTTTGATCTTGGAACATTACCATATCAAAATATAGCAAGTTTTAAACACAAATATGGTCCTATTGTATGGTTCAATATTGGCTCAGTTAAAACCATGTCAATATTGTCTGCTAAAACAGCTGCTGAGTTTTTCAAGAACCACGATTTCGCTTTTGCTGAGCGAAAAATTATTGACACCATGTTGGTACATGATTACAACAAAGGGTCCTTAGCTCTAGCCCCATATGGCGCGTATTGGCGCGTGCTAAGGCGGATATGTACTGTGGAAATGTTTGTAAACAAAAGGATCAATGAAACAGTGGATATCAGGCGAAAATGTGTTGATGATATGCTTCAATGGATTGAAGATGAGGCGAATATTGTGGAAATTAAGGGAAGTGGGATTGAGGTAACGCGTTTTGTGTTTCTTTCTACGTTTAATATGCTAGGGAATTTGATGTTTTCGCGTGATTTAGTACATCCAGGGTCCAAAAAGGCCTCCGAGTTCTTTACTGCCATGATGAAGATTATGGAATGGTCGGGTAATCCAAATATCTCAGACATTTTCCCGCGCCTTAGGAGGTTCGATTTACAAGGCTTAAACAAGAAGATGCAACGCGAAATGGGAAAAGCGCTGGAAATCGCCTCAACGTTTGTCAAGGAACGGATAAAAGAGCGAGAGGATGGTGGCGAAAAGAAGAAAGATTTTTTGGATGTGTTGCTTGATTTTGAGGGTAGTGGGAAAGATGAACCAGCTAAGTTAACAGAACATCAGATCAACATATTCATATTGGTATGTTTTAGTGTTTGCTGCACTTTTCCTTTTCTTCATTTACGCAATCCCCTAAAGTTTTCCAAGATTATTAGTTTCAATAGAGAAAAAGGGAATAAACTCTTGATCTGAATGTCATCTTTCAACCAAAAGAGCAGCTCGGTGCACCTGCGTTCACCTAGGGTCCGGGGAAGGGCCGCACCCAAGGGGGTGTGAAGTAGGCAGCCTACCCTGATGCAAGCATCAGTGGCTGATTCCACGGCTCGAACACATGGCCTATAGGTCATACCGAGACAACTTGACCGTTGCTCCAACTCCAAGGCTCCCCATCTTTCAACTAATTTTTTGAAAATTCTGCTTCTGATAAATAGAAGGGAGCCTTGGAGCCACTGTAAAGTTGTCTTCACCCCTTAGAGCAACGAGTTCGAGCCGTAGAATTAGTGACTAATGTTTGCACTAAGGTAGGCTGCCTAAAACAAATCCTTTGGGATGCAACCCTTCCTCGGACCCTGCATGAATAGGGGATGCTTTGAACAACCGACTGTCCTTTTTTTTTGTTCTGATAATTGAACATCATTATAAGTACCTTGTAATATGCATTTCTTTATTTCGTTCCTGCAAAATATTCAGACCATTGTTGCAAAAATAACATATGTCCTAGACTTTTGGCTATTATCAATGAAGGTAATAGAATATATTCTCGGAGAATTGATTGAAGACGAGATCGATGCGGAAGCCCTTATTTATTAGTTTTAAATACAACAGACAGAATTTCATTGGTCTAATTTGGGACCTTATGACAGATTTTGGCTCTTGTAGCCAAGTGTAACAATTTAGAGCATAGGACCTTGAAAATAAGTATGCTAGTGTACAATGTACATACCTCTTTGTTACTTCATATAAATCTTGATTAGATACGAAATGCAGGAAATGTTTTTAGCCGGTTCAGAGACGACTAGTAGCAGCATCGAATGGACGTTGACAGAGCTCCTACGCCACCCTGAAGCAATGGCCAAAGTGAAAGCAGAGATCTCTGAGGTAGTAGGAAAAAACAGGAAGTTAGAGGAGAGTGACATTGACAATCTGCCTTATATGCAAGCTGTGATCAAAGAAGCGTTGCGATTACATCCTCCTCTTCCTTTCTTAGTTCCAAGAAGAGCAATACATGACACCAAATTCATGGGATATGACATACCAGAAGACACTCAAGTGTTCGTCAACGTTTGGTCAATTGGAAGAGATCCTGAGTATTGGGACGACCCTTTGGATTTCAACCCCGAGAGGTTTCTTAACTCGAAGATTGATTTCAAGGGACAATGTTTTGAGTTTTTACCATTTGGTGCTGGTAGAAGGATGTGTGTAGGACTTCCTTTAGGTAATCGCATGTTACACGTTGTTTTGGGCTCATTGCTTCATGAATTTGATTGGGAACTTCCTGAAAATATCACTCCTAAATCAATGGATATGAAGGAGAGAATGGGAATGACAGTGAGAAAATTCCAACCTTTGAAAGCAATACCAAGAAAAACATCTGGTTAAATTGGACTTTGTTGTGAATTTGCTTGTAATAAGAAGCTGAGGTATTAGTTTCCCCAAAAATGTTTATCTGTTTGAATTATCTTAAGCTTAGAGTTCGAATATTTACAGCCTTAGGAGGCTTTAGGAATAATGGACCAATTGTTGGCCACATTCTGATTCTCCAGTCATTGCTATTTCTCTCGGAAACAGCCTCTCTACTTTCACAAGGTAGAAGGACTACGTACATACTACCTCCACCTGTGGGAATATACTGGATATGTTGTTGTTGTTGTTGTTGCTATTGTAATGTTGCAAGCGATTTTCAAGTGCACAGATAGCCTGATAGAAATCGGACGCTTGGTTGTGATTCTAGAAATTCTTCAGTTTCCTTTTGAATTTCATATATTTTGATGTCCGATTCGTGATTCCGGATATTATTTTGGTGTAGCCATTTTCAAAGATGCTATTTAGAAATTAGCCAGTACTTATTTTGTCCTGAAATTTACAACTCAGGATATTTTTGTCCTGAAAAACTGAAATTCAGGACGCAATGACTAATTCCTAAATAGCGGCCTTTAGAGTGGCTACCCGGTGTAATTTCTACTTTAATCATTGAGCTATTTGACAATGTAAGCTTGACATCCTATTTAGCTGAGATTATTGCAATTACAGCTTCATTAACAACTATCCATACAACAAACTTGATAGTTCTGGTTAAATATCATGATTAAACATAAGACAACAATGTCAAATGTAATTTAGACTTAGTTATGAAGGCTAAAACCTCTATCTGCAGCATAATCTACAAAACTGTAAAGTGGAATGACTTTATCACCATACTTCTCCAAACCATCTAACTCTCTCTTAGCCTGTGCTCTAAGATCCTCAGCAACTTTCTTAGCCTTCTCAATGCCGTAAAGACTAACATAGCTTTTGCCTTTCTTTTTCTTTCCCTCGCTTTTGTCCTCAGTCTCTTTTGCTTCCAATATATCGTCAACAACCCGATATAAGACACCAACTGCTCGACCGTATCTTCTCAGATGTTGGATCTCCTCATCTGAAGCACCAGCCAAGAGTCCTCCACAAACAGCAGAGCACTCACCCATTTCACCATACTTCTTTTCTTGGACAGAGTCAACAGCATTTGGTCCACCCTCAAGATCAAGGAATTGACCGGCAGCCATACCAGTGGACCCCACAGCTCGAGCAATCTCTGTAATGACCCTCAGGATGCGATCCTCAGGAACGAGATCGCTTGGAGTGTGAGACACAATATGCTGGAAACCAAGAGGGAACAAGGCATCCCCGGCCAAAATTGCCATATCTACCCCAAAAACTGTGTGGTTTGCAGGCAGCCCTCTTCGAGTTGGGTCATCGTCCATGCAAGGCAGATCATCATGAATCAATGAAGCAGCATGAACCTAATGGAAACAGATCAAGGTCAAATATGGTATTAAGATACACAGTGTGTCAAACATGGAATTAAGATATATGTGTCAAGTGTAAGCATCAATATAACAGCATATCTCAAGCTCAATCAGAGGATCAACACACCAAAATATTAAGAGTTGGAAATTGACACAATATCATATACAATTAAAATTTCATTTTTTGCACATACTACACAAAACCAAACATCAAAAACAGTGTTGCAAAACATGATTAGCTTAACCAACCTACTGTGGCATGTTCATTTGCCTCGGGAATTTGGGTCAAGCTTTATCTTGAATAAAACTGAATAAGCACGCTTTTTATTCTTTGATAAGTAAAATTAAATCTCATTAAACCTGAATGCAGAATAGTTACAACAGGTTAAAAAAAACAGCTCCTTCTACTCTACAAGGCAGATGAAGTTCACTATGCTTTTTATATCGCTCACGTTGCTCATTTTGCACCAAAAAGCCAAAAAAGACATACATCTGAACTTAATCAAACAACGTTTCAACCTCTAAGAGAGTGGCCGAGCAGTCGAAGACATGAAGTAACAACCTTGGAAACCAAGGTACGAATCCCAATAGAGGCGTCACAAGGTGAATTTTTTCCATTTACCTAAGCTTTGGTGGGGAGAGTTACCTGATTATTTGTGCTGGTAGAATTTAGCTAATACCCAGTGGATTAGCGGAGGTGCGCGCAAATTGGTTTGAACACCACCATTACCAAAAAACAGAAAGTCTAAAACGTTTCCAGTTCTGCTTTAAGAACTTTCTTTCCCCCAATTAGATAAACATAATAATACAATCTGAATTGGTTAGGGTGATAAAGCTCAGGCAATGTATCTTAATACAATTTGACTACTGCAGTTCAAAGACCAGATGGCAATAGTATAGGTGGCTCACTTATTGGTTCAAGCATTTGTCCGTGGAGACAGCAAAGAGAACAAATTCCAGTTATTTGGTGCAGCTGCGGAGGATATAAAATTCCTTAATAACAAAGATTAAAGGTTAGTCCTATAATGTGGATGCTTTAGTTTATTATTCTACAAAAGATCCGCAATCAATTTAAGTGATATTAGCACCTTTCTACCTAGGCTACGACAAGTGATGCAAGCATAGCGAAGTCTTAAGAAACATATGAAGGTTGACAAGTGTGTGTCCTCTATCATCCAAAAAAAATAAATGAAGAACCCAAACAAAAATTGGAAGGAAAGAACAAGTGTTCATCTGTAAAATTCAACAACGAGGAGATTATCCACTTAAGATGAAAGAAAATGAAGAACGAACCATTTCTAAGGCACAGGCAGTGGGAAAGGCAGCGAGGCGATTTCCACCGAAAAGCTCACAAGCCGCGACACACATGATGGGTGGGGACCTTTTAGCACCCTTAGCCAAAACGGAGTAGCGCATGGCCTCATAAATCTGATTTGGGTACTTAACTGGGACTGCCTCATCAAGCTTCTGGTTGATATCACGAATTAGAGTTGTCCAATAATTCTTAAGATCAAATTGGATGGACTCAGACGCTGTCGAAACAGAAGCAGAGCACCTAATTGTTTTCTGCATAACCATGCGGCTCCTTGGCAGACAGATATGAGGTGAACAACTCATCACCATAGAGAACACCATAATTTATCTCTGGTTTCCTCTCTTTCCACTTAATCCACCTGTATTTCTGATCTGTAAGTTACTAAGTAAAGAGCATATAATAATAGAATGATCAGATTGACTGCAAAATAGATGGAAATCTATTCACTGACATGAATGACTTCAGACAAACACTGAAATGCCAAAATCAAAAAAAGAAAAGTTATCAACAAAGCTTACAAAGTTCAACATCAAAAATCAGAAATATGAAACAACAACAACAACAAAAATCCCAATTTAATCCCACAGGTGGATCTGGGGAGGGTAGTGTGTACGCAAACCTTATCCCTGCCTAGTGAAGGTAGAGAGGTTATTTCCAATAGACCCTCGGCAATATAAATATACTAGAGTTCTTCTTCATTGATAGCTTCCTCCTAATATTCATAGTCTTTCTTAGATTTTTTTTTTTTTTTATGACGGTGGTGTATGTTACAACTTGTGTGCACCTCAACTATTTCTCTGGTACCTACTACCTCTGACCAGCACAGGCAATCGTTCTTAGATATTAACAAGTTAATTAGGCATATTTTTAAAGCTAAAAAGCTTTCTTCCCCAGAACATCAATATTTAAGTGCAATATTTTAGTAAATACATCCAAAATGCAAATTACCACTGCCTAAATTACACTTTATTAGCTTAATAACATCTTATCACAAGGACCATCGTCTATTCCTGCTAGGGCACTCATAGCTTTAGACTATAAACATTAATCAAAACAAGGGGAAAAAAAGGACTTCAGAAATTTGATAAGTAAGCAAAAATCTCAAGATTGCTATGAAGAAAAAACCCAAACATGTTATACACAAGCTGAAATTACAAAATTACGCCAATTCTTCCAACATAATTGGGGGAGGGGGGGGGGGATGCAAAAGTGCTACCCAACAGCAACGGGGAATTTGATTCGCCGGTGAATCTGCTGACCGGCGCCGGCGAGATGGGCTACCTACCACTCTCACTTCTCACAGTAGTTTCTATTTTCGTCTCTGTTCCGGGATCTTAGATTTGGTTTGAAGGTTGGATTATTTTAGATTCGATAAAGGTAAATAATCCTCACATCCCAAATTGATATTTGCTACGTCCTATTATATATAGCACTTATTTTAGTTTGTCCAAAAAAAAAAAGTTATATACAATTAGAAGCAATTTAACTCCTAATTTATAGCCACTTTAATTTAAATTACGTGCTCAATCAAACAGTGTTATATTATTGGGATGGATGAAACATGATGTTACTCCTTCCGTCACATACTATCAGTCGTGATTACTAAAAATAATTATTTCAAGTTATTTAGCATTTTAGAAGTTCAAAACAAAATTAATTTTTTTTTTCTTTTTAGCCCTTAGTAATAATTATTCTTGAAGACAGAGATAACACATAAATAGAATAAATATTCAAAAATTTTATCTTAAGACATAAATAAGGGTAAAATAGTCTAATCCATTTTCTAATTAATATTTTTTAATGGGCGTGTAAAAGAGAAACAGACAGATAATTTGGGACAGAGGGAGTATAACACTAGGTAAAATATGATAAAAATGCACCTCATCCGGTATTTATGACTTAATAAATACATGACACATGTTGAATCATAGTTAACATATATATATATATATATATATATATATATATATATATATATATATATATATATATATATATATATATATATATAT